CCATGGAGGTAACTAAGGTAAAATGGGGTCATAAGGCAAGATTCTAATCTGATAGATTTGGTATCTTCATAAGAAGAGGAAACAGAAGAAAGCCACACACACACACACACACACACACACACACACACACACACACACAGAGAGAGAGAGAGAGAGAGCGAGAGGGGGGGGTTTCAATAGCAAACGCCATGTGAAGGATGCTGTCCCCAAGACCAGGATCCCACACTAGAAAACAGCTCTGACAACAGCATCAGCAGCACCTACACCACGGACTTCCTGCTTACAAAGCTTAGTTATCTCAGGTCCCTTCCCACGGCCTGTGCTCCACATCCAGTCACTGTCCCCTTCTCCACACCTCCCAGTTCCTACCACGCTGTTCAAATTTGACTCCTTCACATTCACACCCCATCCCTGAACCCAGTCATGTATTCCTGAAAAAAAAAATGTGCCCCTAAGAACAAAACAGGGCCACACCCTACAACCAAGAGGTCCCGACTGTCCCAAGGATGCCTAGACATTTGTGTTGTTGCTGGGGAACCTTGCTGAGTGCTGAATGGAAGAGAGTCAAGGAGTCTGATGAACCTTATGGTAGAGCTGGACCTTGGGATGACATCCTGGCCTGAGTAGTTATTGTGTGTGGGGAGGAGAGCATCCTAAACACAATAGGCCAGGACAGAGGGGCAATGAACCAAGCAACACTCCCCTGAGTCTGTGACCCTTGTCCCTAGTGCTGGGCTCTCAAAGTTCCTGTCTAGGGTCAATAAAGCAGTGGGCAAGCAAAAGCAAAAACTCACTGGCAAACACAGGAGCAAAGAAGCAGACATCTGAGATCAAGCGCCCACAAGTCTGAGCCAAGACTTCTAGTCAAGTCCATTCGAAATTGTAACAAATGCCAACAACCTTTCCATATGTAACTCAAATCTACTAAAAATGTCTAATCATTCCAGCTTGGTATAACATACATACATACATACATACATACATACATATATATATATATATATAAAATTGTGATTAGCTAGGTTTTCAAGACTGGTGCTGGGGACTCAGGGCCAGTGCCTGCTACCACTGAACTAATCTTAGACCTGGGTTTTCCTGTAGTTAACATTGGGTGGAAGATGCATTGTACTCCACAAAATGAGTCATTTGTGCTAATGCCACTCAGATTAGATATTGATAAAAAAGACCATATTAGGTTATGAGATAGTCTTTTAAAGAGAATAACCACCAAAAGTGTGCTAAAGAAATTTATGCTGTAGAGCCCACCAGAGCATTCTCCAGAGACCATCTTCCACTTCCTTTTTACAAAACAATCCTTCATAATTTATCACAAATCAAGCCTTTTCTGCTTCACATGTTTCTGATGGTCATGCTTCTGGAACTGAACCCAGAGCCTTGAAGATACTAAACCCCATTTCTATTATTTGTAGGAGTTATGTTTGACTAGTCAGTCACTAGAAAACCTGGAGAGATGGCGCAGTGGTTAAGATAATTTGGTATTCCTCCAGCAGACCTGAGTTCGATTCCCAGAACCCACATGGGAACTCATAGCTGCTTGCAATTCCAGTCCCCAAGCATCTGATGTCATCTATGTCTTGCCTCCAAGGGTACTGGATGCACAGACATATACACAGATAAGTAACATATAGATAGAATACATTAAAAAACTTGTTACTCATAACTCATGACCTTACTTTATTAACCTATTTCTTGAGAGCATAATTCTCCCCCTTTTGAATTTGGAAATTTGACCAATTAAACAAATTGAAAGTATGTGTGGACACCGAGCTCTTATTTCAAACATGAAGCGATAAGCTATGAGACAATGTCTTGAAAGAGTACAGTCTTTAAAAATTTGTTATAGGCAGTTGAAATTTATTTTGCCTTTCAAAAAATGTAACACCCATGCCCCCAACTGTGATTCAAAATAGGCACGAAATTTTAAACATAATTTTGTATTCCCAGGCCCCTAGAAAAATTTACCTTCATATTCTAGAAGTTGGCACCAGAGAGCAGAAGTCTGAAGCTTTTTGCTCTCTTCCTTTGAGGTAACTGTTATATTTGGTTTGGGTATAAGGTAGTTAACTCCATCTGCAGTTTGGTGTGTGCCTACAGTTTTAGTTATTCTCAGTTAACAGTGGTTAGAAAGTACCAAATAGGGGCTGGAGAGATGGCTCAGTGGTTAAGAGCACTTGACTGCTCTTTCAGAGTCCTGAGTTCAATTCCCTGCAACCACATGGTGACTCACAACCATCTGTAAAGGGATCAGATTCCTTCTGGTGTTCATGAAAAGACAGGGCACTCATAGACATGAAGTACATGAATCAGTAAGTCTTTTTAAAAAAGAAGTATTAAATGAAAAATTTCATAAATAAACACTTTTAAGTTTTCAATGGCCCTTCTAATTAACACAACGAAATCTTGCGTGAACCACTCCCTCCTGCCTAGGAGGTGAATCACCCCTTCTTACAGAGTATCCACTGTTTATGCAACTTGCTTGTTAGTTATCTAGTTTTGATCTACTGCTGTGAAAGAATATTATTTTAAGGTGTGTTACTTTTGTTTATGCTGCATTTGTTTAACTATGTCAAGCTGTGATTATTTGTGTCTAAAACACCTGATGATCTAGTAAAGCGCTGAGTGACCAATAGTGAGGCCTGAGCAATAACGGGTGGGGCTGGCAAGCAGAAATTATAAGTAGAAGAGGAAACAAAGAAGAATGAGACAGAGAATAAGGAGAGGAGAACGGCAGGGGCCAGCCACCCAGAATCCAGCTACACAGTAATCTGCGGAGTAAGAGTAAGATTTACAGAAGTAAGAGAACAGGAAACGCCTAGAGGCAAAAGGTAGATGGGGTAATTTAAGTTAAGAAAAGCTGGCTAGAAACAAGCCAAGCTAAGGCCAGACATTCATAAATTATAATAAGTCTCTGTGTGATTCATTTGGGAGCTGGATGGCAGGCCCCCAAAAGAGAAAAAACAAATTACTTCATAAAAATTATAATGGGAGACAAGTGGAAAGGGTGCTAACAAGGGAGGCATGTTTATCATACAGTGTCAAGAATGTAAAGACCACCTAGGAAAATTTTTCCTCTCTCTATTAACAAGCACTGCCTGGGGCTGAGATGTTTAGACAGTTTCTTCAGGTGCTGACCTGTCAGTGAGCCTTTCAGATCCCTGGTCCTCTGGACAAAGCGCAATGTAAACATTCATGTGTCTGATTATGCATACACCTTTGTGGGTATGGGCAACATCTATGATGCCCCGGTATTCCAGACATACCAAACTCCCGTGTCATTTACCTTTATTTCATCTCAGAGAAACTGTATCACCTCACAGCAGTATAAGAAGGGTCAGTAAAGCACAGTAAGATTCAGAGAGAACTTACATTCATCTGACATTTATTACATTTATTATGACATTCATTAAGTTTCCTATTAGTTGTTCTTAGTCTTTTTACTATGCCAGATTTACATATTAAACTTCATCATAGGCATGTATACATGGGCAAAGCATAGTATGTAGAGGGTTCTATACATGATTTCCATTATCCATAGAGGTTTGGAAATGTGTCACCTGAAGACAAGGTAGGAATCTCATGTTTATATTTTGTTTGCTTCAAGAGAAAAATGCAGACATTTCACCACCATACAACAGCTAGTTTTGTTTTAAATTATTCATTTTTTTAAAAGGTGGGTGAGTCTGTTTAAACTGTTTAAGAGCTACATTGATTTGTACACCGGTTTTTTACTTTTCATGGCATAGCCCCTCCCTACACACAGCAGAGCACAGATGCCAGCCATTCCTCCTGACACAGCTCACCAAGTTGTATCAAATTCTGACATCTTAGCTCCCCCCCCCCCGAAATCCAAAAGGTGACAAGTAGTACTAAGAATTCACGATTCAGAGCCAGGACTTGCCAAACTTGATAACCCGAGTTCCATCCCTGGGACGCACAAGTTAGTAGGAGAGAAGAGACTCACATACAGATAAATAAATGTAATAAATTTGTAAAACAAAACAAAACAAAAAAACTTTATGAGTTAGGTGATGGATGGATGACACTAGATGCTCATGCATGAGGACCTGGGTTTGGATCCCAGCATCAGTGAAACCCTGCAACTCCAAGGCTTGGTGGGTCCAAATCTAGGTCTCTGAGGATCAAGGGACAAGGTGATAGAGCAGAACTCCCAGTGTCGTCCTCTGGTCTCTCTCTGCGTGTGCAGATACACCATGCACAGAGACATTCAGGGATCAGATAGGCAGGGATTCATGACTTATTTCCCCTTTTATTGCACAGTTGGCTGCACAGAAAATGTTTTCTGGCTGTTAGCTAATAAGAACACATTTATGCTTGCTAAAACTCAACTCTGAAAAATATCAGCGAACTTCCAAATGCTGGCAGGTTTATGTCCACTTTATTACAGTCGGTGAAGGAATATTGAGGCTGGGGGGCGGGGCATATGGTGAGAGCAGACAGGACCTGCCACTCTCTTAGGCTGCTGGCTCTGAGAAGATCAAAAAGCGCCCCAGCACTGGTAAGGCTTCTACAACAACCGTGATATGGACAACGATGTGGTTTCTCAACAACCTGCACCGTACACGTATCCAGCTCGGCTTAAGACTATTTACGATAAAAGCTTTGTGGTCTAGCTAAAAGGCTTTCTAAGTCTCCCTTTATTGGTGTTCTTAGAACAAATTAAGCTTCCTGGACTGTGGCAGGAAATGGAGGACTAAGATGAGATATCCCTGTGGAGTTCAAGCTGCGGAAATCAATGGACCAGGGGGCGGAAATTTCCCAGAGAGGGTCATTAATTAGTAATCGGTGAGCCACTGGCCCCGGGTCACGAGGCAGCGGACTAGAGCGAGATCACCCAGCAGCGACGATGCCATTTAAATGTCAGGGTCAAAAACATTCTGTTTGCAGTGTCCACACGTGACAGTTCCCAAAGCAGGGTCTTTCCCGAACACTCAGCTCCGGCGCCCTAGGTACACACTTACCCAGCAGCAGGAGCCGGTGCGTCTGCTGCAGGTCGCGCTTCTGCTCGCGCAGCATGCGGTCGATGCCGCGGCTCACTTTCCTTGCTTCCTTAGCTGCTTCCCGCTCCTCCGCTGCGCGCAGCTGTTCCTGTTGCCGCCGGCTCTGCAGCTCCACAGAGCCTGCGGGGTTCCGGCCACCGCCTCTCCGAAGCAGGGTCCCCGCCGGAGTCGGGGCTGAGGCTTGGGCTGGGTCTGGGGCCGGGACCGGGACTGGGACCAGGGCCGGGGCTGGAGAGATGCTGAGCTGCGCTTCCTCCACTTGGGGATCTGAGGGGGCGCAGGGGGTGTCCCCCGAGCTCCCGAAGAGCAGCGGTCGCAGGCTGTAGCACAGGCCCATCGGGACGCGGGGAACGGGGAGGTCTCTCGGGTCAGACCGCAGGTCCCACCGAAGCGCGAGTCTGTGCTGCACTCGGACCCTGGGATGCCAGCTGCTGGGCGTGGCTGCTGTGGGTCCGGCCCGAGGGCCACGGCCCCTCACTGCCCAGGGGGGACATTGTGCTCGGTCTGCACGTCCTGGGCGGGTGCTCTCACCTGAGAGCGCCGCGAGCTGGCAAAGCTTACCCAGTTGCCCAGCTTTGGCCAGCCCGGCCCCATTACCGTAAATGCCGCCGCGCAGTCTGCTCACATTACCGTAAATTCTGCCTTCAATGGGAAGTATTACTGCCCTGGCTGCTTACCAGGCAGAACTACTTGCTCGGTAGCAAGGGCGATTAGTTTAAAGCTAGCTGAAGCTGAGAGAGATCGAGTGACCCACGGTGCCGGGGCAGGATGGAGCCTTGTTAAATGCTGTTGAAAATGTTAGTTTTTGGTGGCACTTTCTATGAGTGAGCATAACTCTCGTACTGGCTAGTTTTGTGTCAACTTGACACCAGCTGGAGTCATCAGAGGAAGGAGCTTCAGCTGAGGCAATGCCTCCCTCCATGAGATCCAGCTGTAAGACATTTTTTTTCAATTAGTGATCAATGGGGGAGGGCCCAGCCCGAGAAAGCAGGCTGAGCAAGCCATGGACAGCAAGCAGTACACAGCACCCCTCCATGGTCTCTGCATGGGCTCCTGCCTCCAGGTTCCCACCCTGCTTGAGTTCCTGTCCTGACTTCCTTCAGTGTCCTCCCCAAGTTGCTTTTTGTTCCGTTGCAACAGTAGAAATCCTAACTAAGACACCTCCCAAGGGTGGGTAGGAGAGACTCTTGGATAGCAGTGGGTAGAGCCTTCCCTTAACTGTGGGTTTGGAGCTGGGAAGCTTTAAACAGCCAGCCTGTTATATACACTTGAAACCCTGTGACACAAACTGATCAGATGATGGGCAGCTGAGGCCAAGACTCCTTCGTGAGGCTTGCTCCAGTCAATGCCACTGCAGACTACCTGAGCCAGCTTTGGAAGGCAGAACTCTAGCCAGATAGGCTGTGGTGACTGTTAAGATGACCTGGAAGCTCTTTTCATTTAACACAGGAGGGAAAGCAGTAAGACAGGCTAGTGCTGGGAAACTGGAGGCTGTGCTGCCATCCATGAAAATACAATTCTTCATTTACATGACACCGCCTTACCACGGTTGCCTCTGTGCTATGTAAATAGATGGTTCAGCTACTTTTCATGCTGCCTCCTTGGTGCTGCATCGCGAGGCCTAATGAAAAGGATTCTCCAAAATGGTCTTTTCTTGCCCATCATAGGTATATAAAGCCAGCTTAGCTGGGAACGGCAGTGGCGACAGGCAGCTGTGGCAGGAAGACAGCTGAAGGGTTAGGGGAGCGACCACCAGCAGCTCCTCTGGCACAGTGGCATGTGGGATGAGGTAGGGCAGAGGTGGGAAGCTAAGGTTGGAAGGAGGGAGGCTGTGAAAGATGGTAGCTCTTCGGGGCTGCGGGGCTGCGGTCACTGGAGATGCCCACCACCCAGGGTTGAGGATCCAGACACTCAAGTCCTGCTTGAGGGCTGTAATTTCCTGGTCATTGGAGGGTAGGAGTTGAGTGTCTCAACAGGAGGTGCTTGAAGGCCCTAATGCTAGCTGGCACTCACTGCTGCTGACTGTTGCTCTTGCTGTCACTTAAGAGCAGAAAATGTCATTGGAGGCACAGTGCCAGGCTGCTGATTGGTATGTTCCTGGAGCCCAAAGTCTCTGGCTTCTAAGACCTGGGACCATAAGTCAAATTTAGAAGGCTAAAGGTGTCAAGATTGTTATTATGGGGACAGAGGGAGGATTCTTTTTTTTTTTTTAATCATTTCAGGTTCTGATATTGCCATATGATTGCATCATTTGCATCATCCTCCTTTCCTCTTTCCTCCCTCCAACCCCACCCAGTGAACCCTCCCTTGTTCATTCAAATTTATGGCATCATATTATTATACACACACAGCCTACCCAAGCCACACATGCCCAGGCCAGGCCAGGAACTCAAACTGGACAGGATCCTGGAGGCAGGAACTGATGCAGAGACTTCCTTCATGGTCCTCCCTAACTTGCACCAGTAAGGAAAGGACAGCGCAGCAGAGTCAGCTGCCTGAGCCAATGGGATCTTGGGAGAGGGTATAAAGGCAGGCCTAACTTCCTTAATAAAGGAGTCTGCAGCTCTGCTACACTCTGACTCCCAGTGCCCGAGTCCTTGGTGCTTCTCACCTCCTCCCTCAAGGGATGTCTGAGCAGGGTAACACACTACAAGCACGCACGCATGCACGCACGTGCACGCGCGCACACACAAATATAAATGTCCCAGTCTGTATGATGTTACTTGTATGCCTTCCCCAGGAGGGAACACATTTCTCCTTTGTTAGCATGCTTGTCACCTTCCCATGAAGGCTAGCCAATAGAGACGAAGCTTCTAGGTCAGGATCAGCTCTGTTTCTTCGTGTCATATGACTCAAGTATATGGTGTCTTGAGTCTTAGCACTGAGTCTGGAGGGGGAACCAAGAACACTGACAAAAGTTTATACAGTTTGGGGTGCTTTGGGACTTCACTGGCCAATGACCCATTCCTGGCACTAGGATCTTTCTCTTGGCCTACTGGATAGACACCCAATAGCAGGCTGCTGGAGCATATGGTTGCTCTTTGTAAATAATTTAAAAAACTTTTGTGCAAGTATGAGTATACATGCAAGTGCCTCCTTGCCATGGCATGCATGTACAGATCAGAGTGCAGTTTTTGGAAGTTGGTTCTAGTCTTCCACCAGCTGCTGCCCAAGATAAGACTTGGCAGCAAGTGCCTATACCCATTGAGCCATTTTATTGACCCTCATATGGTAGTTTCTAATTTTAGTTTTTGTGAAGGACTGCCATACTGCACTGTGAGACCATGTCTGTGCTTCATTTAATCCATATACACTGTAAATATGCATCAAAGATTACATTCTACCCTTAATTATATATTATCAGTTACAACAAATTTGAATGCAACTAATTTCTAATTATTATTATTTTAATTATTATATTAAAAGAAACCACTTTTATTTTCCCTTGCTGTGGTAACTCCATGTCCAAGACAGTTTAGAGACAAATTGGGCTTATATTTCCAGAGAGTTAACATCTGTGGTGATATATTGTTATGATCTTGCCTGGAGATCAGAATGCAAAGCTAGCCATAGCCATAGAGGCCAGGCAGTGGTGGCACACATCTTTAATCCCAGGACTCAGGAGATTGAGGCAGATGGATCTCTGTGAGTTCAAGGCCACCCAGGCATATATGAGAGTGAATCTGTCTAAAAGAGAAACAGAGCTCACACCTTTGATCCCAGAACTCGGGATGACACACCTTTAATCCCAGCACTAGAGAGGTCAGAGCTGGCATTCAATATTAGGCAATTAGTCTCCAGCCACATTGAGGACAGGATTACCCCAGCCTTATTAGAGCTCTCTGGTGGCTTTACTGCTTTGCTTTTATCTTCAGGCAAGTTTTATTAGATCATAAACAAAATATCATCAACAACATTTATCGTGGCAAGTGAAGGTGCGACAGCAGGTAGCTGAGAGCTCACATCTTGATCCATAAGTAGGAGGCTGACAGCAGGTAGCTGAGAGCTCACATCTTGATCCATAAGTAGGAGGCCGAGAGTGCACTGGGGATGACAGGGGGCCTTTAAACCCCAAGCTTGCCCCCAGGTTTCAAAAGAGATTGATTTTGAGCGAATGCTGCTTGCGGCTTGCGGTCTGAGATGTGAACTCTCAGTTGTCCCTGCAGCCATGGCATTGGCCCTCTCACCATGGACTCCAGTCAGCTGTAAGCCCAATTAGACAGTTTTTACAATTTGTGCTGTTGGTCATGGTGTTTTATCACAGCAATTGAAAAGCATCTAATACATTGTAACACCTGGCATTATCAACCACACTCCAGGGCAGACCTCACCCCTCATAGTCAGCTGACATTAAACATTTATTTTCTTTTTTAAAAGAGTTAATTTTTAGGGCTAGATAGATGGCTCTGCAGTTAAGAGCACTCACTCTTGCTGAGAACCTGGGTTCCCAGCCCACATATCACAGCGCATAACCATTTGTAATTCCAGTTCCAGAGGGGTCTGATTCTCTCTTCTGGCTCCTGTGTGTGTCAGGCATGCATGTGGTGCACAGACATACATGCAGACAGAACACTTATAAAAGAAAACTCAATATTTTAAGAAATATTTTACTGAAAAAATTTAAGAGTGTATGCATATGTCTGTGTATGGTTTGCACAAACCTGGGTCCTCTCCAAGAATGCAGATACTTAGCTTTTATTGGTGCATTTGAAAATTTTGCTGCTAGTGGATTTTGTATGGAATTGGTCCTCTTTTAGAGTTTATGGGCTCTCTCTCTCTCTCTCTTTCTCTCTCTCTCTCTCATTGCTTTCAGATCGTTGATATTTTATACTGTGGGCCATGATGTGGGTCTGACGCTAGCCATATGCATTTCTTGCCTTTTTATTATTTGTTCCGTTTTTAGGCTTCACCCTTTGGTTTCCCCACAGTGGAGAAAGTTACTGTTTTCTTGCCGATGGTGATACTGATGTGGAAAAAACCCTAAATCTGCCCATGAGACAGGGGCTGGGGTTTCTGATCTAAGAAGGCAGCAGGTTAACACCCACAAAACTTACATCTCATGTCCAGACAGCAGGTTCCACAGCAAAAGGGCACTCAGCCACTCCAGAATTCAGTCTTGTTCCCCTGAACTGATAGTCTGCCTGATACCCTAGGTTCACAGTGTTACTATATCTTTCCTTTCTTCCAGATCAACAGCTCTTTTCTGGCTACAATGTATCCCAAGTTACAGATACCAGGTCACAGGTTTACCAGTGTTTCATAGTGAGCTGTAGCTCTGTAGGCTTTACCATCCACCAAGATGAGACAGACAACATAGATGTTGTCTATGATGTATTTGGCTAAGAGAAAATG